ACTTAACTTAACTTAACTAACTAACTAACGTACTACTACTACTACTACTACTACTACTACTACTACTACTACTACTACGTACTACGTCTCTACTCCTACTCCTCTCTCTCTCTCTCTCTCTCTCTCTCTCTCTCTCTCTCTCTCTCTCTCTCTCTCTCTCCATATTCAACAATAGCTGCAATCATAAACAGTAAAATCATTATACAATAGAGACCCATCCTTTGAGTAGTGGAGTAGGTAGTAGCAATTCTCGCAGAAATATGAAGGATTCGTCGGGGCCCACTTGTCATCATATGTAACCTTCACCGCTCGAAAGATGCCACAAATGGAGCATTTGTGATCAAATGTTTGGTGCTCAAATACGAGGAGCGGGTATGCTGCCTTGTTCTGCACATCCTCCGGATGAAACAATCTCATGTCCCTTATCACCATAGTATGCTTGCAATCCCCCTGCCAAAGAAACTAATCAACCAATCAATTAAATGGTCGTAATAGTAAAAGAAAGCATCGAGGCCCATCAAAGGCTTCACTGAAAGAGACAATAATTGAGAGGATTTAGGGCAAGGAAACATGAACTACTTGAAGTACGAGCCGCAATTGTTCAAAGGTTCGGTTTCTATAAAGTTTGCAACCTTAAAAAAATCCAATTAAAGCACACCTCCAAATTTTTATCGTAACATGCAATTTTGGTATAAAAATTTCTTAGGATTATCTGAAAATCTATTTTCATATCTAATTATAAAATTTTAAACTCTAAAAATATTTAAAATCAAATAGATCCATAAAAATGTGAAAATCTTAAAAATGGATGATCTAGATAATGTGTTGCAAGATGCATCATTTATGGGTCTCAAAATTATTATTTCTTCCATATTCATACATCTCGATGTCAAGATGATCAATTATAAGGCTTTTCAACATTAAAACAACCTTTTCCGATAGATTTTTGAGGTGCATCTTTAATTCTACATTTTAAGGTTGCAACCTTATATAAACTTTTTCCATTGTTAAGGGTAAACCCAATAATTTATCTCATTGGAAAGTATGCTACAATGCAATGCATTATCTAAACCATAGTACACGGGGGTGATCAGCTGTACAATGGAATCATGGATGGTCATGGGTAGAGGGATAGCTGTCATTACAGCCATCCCAAACTGGAGGCTCGCACTCTCTCCATCACCATCCATCATTTCATTGGATGGTGACAATCCTGATGATCTACTGTTCTACCCAGTCCATTAGATAATATCATCATAGTATATTCTTCCTTATTTCGTATATCTATTAATAAAATGATGAAAAAAGGCGAGAGATGCATAACTTGGTGGCAATACAAATATCCTGCCCCCAACCGAAATTTCAAGTCACAGAAGAGCGTATTATGCATGTCAACAGCTTTGAAAGATGGCAAACTTGTGGCTAGAGTGGAGTCTGGAAGAAATGCTTTAAACTTCTTCAATCCTTTGGAGAGAATAGAGCTCCACTTTTGTAATGCATCATCTTTATTATTCCTCATCCAATCAAATATAGGTTCACTGTAATCTATAGCTGATGGATCCCTCATATCTTTGCAGAAAACATCCTGCAGGAGTACATAAATGACAATAGATCTTAGCAAAACCGCTCATCAATTCACATAGGGAGAGGAGAGTATACCACAGACCATTCAGTCATCATCGTCCAAGAACATCTTGTGCATTTGCATACAATTCGGAGAGAGACAATCCACCATTGGACCTCACTCTCGATCAACATTAATTGTTTCATAAAACAGTGATGACCTGATGATTTGAAGTAAATAATAATGCATTGAATCAAAGTTTACTTTCCCATTTGCATATTTAGAAACTATAAGGGCCTGTTTGGAGAATAAACTCTAGGGCTTTTCAAGAAAAGAAACATTTAAGATATATTTTTTAGGAGAATATACCTTCAAACTTCTTATTTTTTAGTTTAGCCCTCCCTTCTCCATGTGCCCCTCTTTAGATTAGAAAATGATGAAATTACCCTCAACAGCTCCCACTTGATTTTGGCCAGGATTTGAATTTCCAGTGACACGAACACTGCTTTCAGGAGATCCAAGGGGGAAAGAGGAGTATGAAGTCGTTCTCTCTAGATTTGTTCCAAAAGGGATTTCTGAGATATTTGCTCCTAAAAGAGATTCATCTGGTCTTATCTCTCTCTAGATTCATTTGAGACATGCCATCTTTCTTTTTTGGAGAGAAACACAATGACAACCATCTCCTCTCAAGTTTCAACTAATACAATATTGCTATGTTCTGCCTCATCTTTATCAGCCGCCGTTCAATATGTCATCTACTCTCACTAGAAACATCTCCATTCCATACCATGTATGTCCCAGCCATACGAAATCAATTATCCTAATTGAAAGAAGACAATAGTTTGGGAAGGCTACCATCTGCAATTGCTGTCCATATTTGATGGAGAACTTTTGCATAAAAAGCTCTAATTTTTGTACCTTAATTCTCTGAAAATATTTTTGAACTTCAGTATTTCGAGATCTTCAATCCCATGAAATTTGGGAGCTTTTGCTCTCATTCCAGTGATCATACAGCTTGACTGTACGATTATTTCATTGGACATTACAGAAATTGGTGGTCAAGAGGTCATGAGGTTCGTCATTGCCATTAATAAAAGAGAAGAAACAGAGATTATTCTGAATGTGTCACAGACTAACAAGTCGCAAAGAGATTCAATAGAAAAGTTTAGCTTCAGAGTTCAAGCCAATGAGCTCTTTGGTAAATTTAGCTAAAGCTTTCACCATTGGGGACGCATTTTCCTGCAGGTCCCTGTTTTCTCCAGCCACTTTTTCCCTAACTTGCAATTTTGGGATTTGTTTTTTTCTCAGGCACCAGAAAACTTTATTGCCACATTTTTCAAACAACCCATATTGCAAAACAAAAAAAATTGATTCACACGCCCTGAGAAATTGATGTAAAAACGATTCACATGTTTTGGGACTATTGATCATGTTCTGGAACAAGTGCTCCTTGGATTTATCTAGTTAGCTCTCATAAGAAATTTTGAAGGTCCAATCTCTTGAAAAGAACATCTCTGACGCCCATTTACTTAAAAATAATTTTCATTTGGAATATATTGTCTTATCTAAAATTAATATACTATGGATAATTTTATTGTTAGTTGTTTGGTATGTATCTTCTATTATTTATAATGTTATCTAAATATTTAACAGCCAAGAGAACATGTGATTTTCAGCAAATTATTTTGAATAAAGTGAAATCAACTTTTCAAAGAGAAACTTATATATAAAACCGCATTTATAAGTTTATCTCAAATAACTTTATAATTGACACAGCCAAACAACAGATAACTCATTATCAAGATTAACTTTATTGCAACAGGAATTATCAGTGATAATGAGTGCATCCAAACACAGGCCCTAAGGAACTTTCTAGTTCAACAAAAGAAAATGAGAAACACAACTTCCTGTTTACCTCAATGAGAAAATATCCAGAGGGATCATGTAATTCCTCTTTACACATCAACTCATCCATGAAACAGTGGATTTTATCCCGCAGCTCAGTGACGCGTTGCCTTCCCAAGACCAGGTATTCATGAGTCTTCCATTCACATTGAGCAATGAAAAAACAAATATAAACTCAGTTTGCAAGTTCAAAGTAACTAAACCATAGCAATAAGTTAAGCCATTTTAGAAAGTCTTTTCTCCACTGGATAAATAAGTCTGTCTATCCTAAAATGAATTGCATAATGATGATTTTCTTAAGATATAAATAAAACCATACTCAATATTCAAAAGCCACTGAAGGCTTTTCCTGTGATACATACAAACCAACTTTCCTAACCAAAAAACACGACATTTTTGGATTTAACGATTGCTTCTCCATTTTAGGAATTACTCGTGCACTCAAGAGAGGCTGACAAAATGGTAGTTGACATAACCATTGTGAATGTAACAAGGGTTATTAGGCTTTTGGGATTTGTTACCACTTACAGCCTCAATGGCAAGCCTAGTTGTGTTAACTGTCTAAAATTTTGCTTCTTTTTTATTGAAATCTAACAATCATAAAATAAATTTATTAGAACTTTATCATTCTTATCGATTACAAAAAAACCAGCGCAGTTTCATAGCTTCCCCCTGAACAAATTCAGGTGGTTGTCAGGACCCTAAAGAGACTCGCAGAAACAGAAACCATCGTGAACGGCATCTTCTAAAATAGTATACACTCCATTTCTACAGAAGAGCATATCAAATTGACCAAGGTACAGTGTTTCACAATAAGCAAGATTCTTAAGTGTCATTCTGTCTTTGGTTCTCCTGAAAGTGAAACAATTCAAAATACAGCAACATGCAAATAAATGGTTTCCTTTTACTAAGACATACATGCCACATTTACCAGAAATTTACACGTAAAGTTCACATGCACTTGTGCTGCCACTGAAGGAATATTTAGCAAATTTACTACAAAAATCAATACAAATAGTAGTCTCATCAACTCAAAGGAAGAGATCAAACAATGGTACATGCAGTTCAAAAACCAGGTGACTAAAAATAGAAAACTTGATGCTTTATTTTGCTTAAGAAATCTGGTATAAGAAACCTGCAGCTGCATGATGCTAATTTGGGGATAAATCTACAGTGTATCCTACATCAAGTACGTGAGGTACAAACAGGAATATTTAGATTTTTCATAAGTATGATATGATCTTAATGTTAACAAATAGGTCACAATACCTTCAGTTTCTTCCGTATACAATGGTATATCTCAACACAGAGAACCACTTCTGGGTGACGGACTGGTACAAAAGCAAGGGAACTCAATGCCTTCACCTGTTAAAGGCATAAAAAAAGTGAACCAATTTAGAAAACCTAATGCCTAAATTTTACAGTGAGATGATATGGTCCAAAGACACAAAAAGCTACCAATGCCTACCATGGCATTACGATAAATAAGCCATGACTTCAATTCCCTTCCTCAGGCCTATAAGCAATTACCAGAGGACATCAAGACCCAAATATTCAGGGAAACCATTCTTCCACATTTGTATCGTAGAAGATCTAATCAAATCAGAATATAAAAAGCTTACCTTCTTCCCTGAGGTGATAAACCTAAGAGACCTCATGCGTTCAACATTATCTGAGGGTGGCATTGCTCCTTCCTTAGCTTGAGTTCTACATATAATAAAAAATAAATTATCATGCAGTGTCAAGACCTCTCGGAATGGAATCTAAAAGCATAGCATTTAATTCCTAATTATAAAGCAGGAAACTGAAACCAAAACATCTTGGCAAAAAGAAGTTCTCAACGCAATAGGATCATAGGATCACAGTGGATGACTCAAAAAAAGCTCAATTAGTTTTCAAAATTATTCTAGTGTTTTCAACAAATTTCTTAATCAAGAAAGATAAAATTGAGAATTAAACATAAGAGCAAAAATCTGTTCTTTTACTAAATTTAATATTAAGACTTTTTAGTTAAAAAAGGCATCATTTTTAGAAAATTCTTATAAACTAAGTCCATGTTTTGATGAATAAAGGCGAAGGTACGGATATCAGCATAATAAACATTTCTTTCTTTCTTTTTTCTCCAAGTAGCATAAAGCCATTTCAATGCCGGTCCTGGGCCAAAAATCAAAATAAGGATAGAGCATACTTGAGAGCATGCAGTTTCACCGCTGCTTTGTCTTCCTCTTGTTTCTGCTTTATCTTTGCTAGTTCTTCTACTTTTGCAATGACATCACTCTGAAACAATGAGTTGAGAATAAGAGAACAAGTGAAAACGATAAGATATACAGATGCTTGTGCTTTTACTCAGTAAAAATTAGCAGCTGAAATAATAGCCATTTCAATAGGCATATTCATCATGCCACATAATAATCAGATATAAACTAAAGAAAAGAGTATAGTTTTCTTTTATCAATAAATATTAACTCTCAATGAAGTTTCTAACGACAAAACTCTAAACTTCAGTTCCCATCAACAGGGGAGACAAAACTTCTGCTATGAAACTGCAATGAAGGAATAAGGATATGTTCTTCAATGCTAGAACTCTGTCTGTAACCTAGTGGTCTGGAATCCATCTCAACCCTAATTTGTAGGCCTGTATCTCTTGCTTATCAGCAAAGGAAATAATTAAACAAGAAAGAAAATGCATCTGATTCCATATAAGTAAAAGACACTGCATATTGAATCCATACGTGACCAAAAACAAATTAATTCAAGTGATGTGGAAAATTTTGTTATGATATCAGCAGTAAGCCCAATTTTGGTATGGAATAGATATGTTTGCCCCTCTCACTGTACGTGTATAGGACCAATAATGGTTATGTGAAATTTCCAGAAAATTGCCATGATTTTGTTTACAATACCATAGTGTAGCAGTCATTGTTAACAAAGCAACATTCCACCTTTAATACTAGAAAGCATATTTGCAAATCTTGTAACTAGTACCTACACCTAAGATCTCCCCTAAAAGTATTGATTAAGTTGACTAGTATATAATCATGAATCTTATCAACGTTTTTGCACATTTTGTTATATGATTAAAACAGGCTGTAGTGTTTCATAAAAATACACTTCTAGAAGAATCACCATACTTGTCCCTGCTCCCCTAAGAGCTTTGGCTTTTGGATGACCAGCAAGTATTGCAAAACCTCTTCGGGCTGATCTTCATCATCAATAGATTTATTTTCCCAACATATGCAGCCCATGATGATAACCTAAAGAATCAGTTAACCATTTCATTTTTTACGATTCCTTTTATGGGACTTGTGGAGCTACATCCTCAATCTTCTAGCATGTTCTAGGTTATGCTCTACTCAGTTGACCAAGTAATCACAAGTAGTAGAAACCATCTCCTGTGGAATATTAGCTTCTTGGCCATCCTACGAGACAAAGGAAGTAGTGAACAACTTGAGAGGGTTGAATGGCCACAATGGAATGAGGAAAAGCAAGACACTTTTATTTTTGGGCCCTGATGGAGGATTTTCAAGAAATTAGGACACAAGACATCATTAATGAATGAAGAATGGTGGCACATAGAGCACAGCGGAATAGTAGGTTTGGCAGGTGGCTCTAGATGATGAGGATGGTGCCTTGAAGCTTAACTTTGATGGATGCACTTTTAAGGTATGTGGTGTGTTTACAGATAGCCTGTGGGTTGTGTGAGATACTTCAGATCTGCTGGGTGTATCAATTGATGACTATGGTAGCAATATACTGGTTGGTAAGTGTCATTCCAGCATGTTTACAAGCCCATTGATAGTGAAGAGGGATTCATTTAATGTTATTAGATGAGTACAGTAGGATCATCCATGTCCCTAGAGGCTAGCCAACGACATGGAAGATCAAATCTAACTTTAAGTCATTGCAAATCCTCTAATGAATTCACTAATTAATCAGCTAGAGGAAGTGTAGGGTTGGATACCTAGGAGATTCTATAAAGGCTCTCCAATCGTCCCTTCTCCCATTTTTGGTTGATCCATTTTTGGTTTATCTTTTTCTTTTCTGTCGTTCTTGAATTAATCTCCATATACATCTCTATTTATCAATACTCTCATGGAAAACTCTAACGGCATGTTTGTTTGCAGGAACGTTTGGGTTCAAAAAGATAACGATCCTAACACTGTACACTTAAAAAAAAAAAAAAGTTCCTAACACTGTAGTAGCTCCCCGTTTGGCTGCACAAAAACTGCTACAGTAATGGGAACCTAAACTTTACCCAAACTCTCTTAACTTTTTTGTCGATTACTGCTATTGGTGATCACTATTCACTATTTACGATATAGTATATATTATATTATATTACATTAGGTTATATATATCATATATTTATATTTATATTGTTAATATATATTTGTTATCAAACACAGGTACCCAAACTTTTTTAACATTCCAATAAGTTATCAAACACAAGTACTTAGAACTTCCTAAACTTTCCACAAGATAGCATTCCACTTCCCAAGAAAGAATAACTTCTTTTTTCCAAGGAATGTTTATCTTCCTAAAACCAACGTGCCCTAAGAGTCTAAGTATACATCATACATTTTTTTGGGCAATTTGTGACTCTTTCATTCGATGAAAAAATGTGATGTATCAAAAAGATAAACACATACTAAATATAAATACACACGTCATGCACCCAATCTTTTTTTGGGGAAACAATATATAAATAAATAAATAATTACCTTTATTTAAGTTGCTTTCCATGCACATCTCGTTAGAGGTGGTATAAGAGGGATCCACATCTATAAGCTGCAGTCCCTTACTTCAACGCTTGATACTACGTTGTCGGTATTCCTGGTGAGAATGTGCCCCCGCTCCAGAGAACATGCCTCTGGATGCTTTTGATATGAACCTTTCATGCTAATCATTTGTGATCCCACTTACACACACACATTTGTTCTAGTGAAAGATAACTATGGGATGGACCTCTGACATCTTCCTCTTCCTATCTCTACTATGGAGTTACAGTGCATTACATGCATGTCATCTTTCTACATAGAACGAATTTTAGTCCAATATTTATCCAATCCCAAACTACTGCATAAAACAAGTAACCAAAGGAAACACACATGGGATACATAAATGCATACCAAATAGCACTCCATACACACATCCAATACCATCCCATGCTGGTAGTTCAACGAGTAACATTAACTAGCACTTCATCTACAGATGCAAAAGAGCAGCAAGCATTGATTCCATATGTTCACAACTTCACAAGTCTTGCATAAATATACGAACTGGGGAACAATTAACAGTTTACATACACTTAACAGAGCATCACGGGCATATCTGTCAAAGCGTCTCCCCCTTTTCTTCTTTTTTGGAGCCTGATAAACCACCAGTGCAGAAGCACCATCATTGGAAGACTCAGAAGCTTCACGATCAATATTTTCTTGTCCCGAACTTTCAGCACAAGTTGACTCATTGTTTGAATTCCTGTGACCATTTTCCAGCCTACAATGCAGCATCACATTATAAACATGAATGCACTCAAATTATATAAAACCAATGGCATATGATGACAATTCTGCGTCACAATTAAGAGGAGTGAAACCAAACTCAGTTAAAGCTCCAGTTGCTTACATATCATGTGCTTTCCCTTCTGAAAGCTCCGATGTATTCTGAGACTGCACATGATCCTATATTAAACAAAAAGAGATAAATCCAGAGGATATGCGCATGAATATTAAAGCACGTAGAATCTACATAGCCATGTAGAATCTAGATAGCAACTCAAAGTTAAACACTTGGAGAGACAAACATTGGGTAGCATTTACCTTAAATGCTTCTTTTAGTGCTCTTTCAGCCAATTCTTCATCAGTGAAAACTTTTAGTTCATCGATCCTGTTTGGCAAATCAACAGCAGATTCCAATTTAAGAAAGCAAAACCAGATAGAAAAGAGAAGACTACTTAAAGTTCATCTCCATCTTCCTAAAAGATATGCCAACAAATAACCCCCCCCCCTCTTTTGGTAAGGACAGTCACCCCCTCACCTTTATGTTTTCAATCCAAGCACCCCTTCAATATATTTGAAAAGAGACTGGACTGATTGTTTTTCCAGTTTTTCCCTATATAATGATTTCAAGAAAAAAAAATTTGATCTGTCCTTTTCTCTCCCTAACCACCCATAACTTTCCCTCTCTCTGTCCCTTTCGTCTCTCACACTAGCCATCAACCCCTCTCTCTCTCTCTCTCTCTCTCTCTCTCTCT